TGTGTGTGTGTGTGTGTGTTTGTGTGCAGAACACTGGCCTCAACTGGCCTGGGCGCAGATCCCCCTCCTGCTCAGTGGTTTGAATCGTTGTATATACTAAACTAACTGGGAATTTGGGAAATGAAATGAACGGTTTACTTCATCCGGATACCTTTGCTTGCTATTGGAATACGTTTCCCAGATTCCATCTCTGTAGCATCTTTCTCTACCTAGCTGTTTTAGCTAGCTGCTAGCTATTGTGAACTTATGATAATGTTATAACCTCCAGTAGTCCACATTAACACCCATTTCTCATTATGACATATATTAGCCCTTGTCATTAGACTTATAAAGTCCCTAAATGCATATTTCCCCCATTTGACTGTCCCAGATTACCCAAAGCATGCTGTCTCACACTCTCAATCATATTTGATAATGTGGGACAAGAAAAAAAATGTTTGAAAGAAAAAACGGTAACACTTTACAATAAGGTTCATTAGTTAACATTAGTTAACTACATTAGTTAACATGAACTAAGCATGAACAATACTTCTACAGCATTTATTAATCTTAGTTAATGTTAATTTCAACATTTACTACTGCATTATTAAAATCAAAAGTTGTGCTTGTTAACATTAGTTAATGCACTGTGAATTAACACGAACTAACTATGAACAACTGTATTTTCATTAACTAACATTAACAAAGATTAATAAATACTGTAATAAATGTATTGTTCATTGTTTGTTCATGTTAGTTAATACATTAACTAACATTAACTAATGGAACCTTATTGTAAAGTGTTACCGAAATAACAAACAAACACATTTTCAACACTTTAATACATATTTTGTTGCTTGAATAGATCGCAAACATAATTTGACAACAATTAGGAACATTGTCTTATTTATGACAGATTTATGTCCTTAACATTAAACTAGTCAGAATCCTATGTCACTGACCTTGTCATGCAAATCCTCCCCCCAATTAAGTCATGTGATTTCAGTCTAAAATGATAGTAAAAGTCCTGTTGACTAAATTTTGTTAGAACAGGAAATAGGCCTAAACTCACTGGTGCTTAGGTGTTCCAGATTACCCGAATTCAGCCTATATAGATTACAATGATTCAACGTAGTTTATACAAAACTATAGTGTTTTGGTTGTTTTAGTATACATTTATTACAAATTGTGTGATCCCGGTTGTATTTGTGCAAGATCGCTATTTGAATGGTTTCAGAAAACAATGATTAATTTATTACAACAATAATAAAAATATGCTATGAATATTTATCTTTATCTTTATTATACATATAACAGACTTTAAACATACCGATGTATTTCAAACCTAACAATATTTGAGTGGAGTCAATTGTGAAAACAGAAACATCTCCGAACGATTCACTGACTGAGTCTGATTCAAACCGCTTACTCCGATTAATGAATCGTTTCGACTGACTCTTTAAAAAGAACCAGTTCAAACGAATCATTTGTTTGTGAATCGGGCATCATGGATTTGCCCACTGTATTTGTGACCGAAAACGTTGTTGCGCGCGGATGATATCTGACGAAACCGCATATGGGACGGACACAAAGTTTTCCCAAACAGATTTAAACTTATTGTCGCTCATTTTTACTTTGTTTGCGATTGTTTTAATCGCGACCTGGATGGAGCACACGTTATTAGCCTATATTTTGTGTGAGGCTGCTAAAACACACTTCACCCCACAGGCACAACATTCAAATGTTTAAGCTCAAATGCAGGTGTCTTCTTGGTGCAGATGGTGACGATGAGAAGCCAGGTGCAACATTTGCCAGCCCTCCACCACGTGCAATGTCCCCTACAGGCCATCCTCCACCCTCCAGTTCAGGAGCCCTTCATTTACTGCTGCAGAGGCTCCAGGAGCTCAGCCCAAATAGGTACATTAATTCACACATGACCTATGGATCAATATCAAACTTTTGGATCACAAGTCTGTGCCTGTATATAAAAATGTTAATGTACCGATTTTTACCTCTGCAGTGCAGGCTGTGAGATCATCCTGTTACTGAATGAGTATCTGCATGGTAATGTGTGTAAGGACCTGGAGAATGTGAAAGGAGGCGCATCAGGACTGCAACACTTTCAGTGCATCCTCAGCCGTGCATGCGACAGTCTGCACAGGTGCTGTTTCTCAGACACCACATGTCCCTTCACACATTGTTGCAATCATTTGAAATAAGAATATCTGAATAATGACTGTTACATTGGCAAGAAAAAAGTTATTCATGATTTGTTTACAATAGTGAGATTGACCAGACACTGTCCAGTTTGGAAACCTTAGCGAAAGTGTTTGGTCATCCTAGTGGCCACCTCACCTTCTCCACAATGCAGGTACAACCTCCCTAAATGTTATTTTTACACATACATAAGGCTAATACAGGCTGCTATTATCAATCAGTTGAAAAAGGTCAATATTTTTTGTCACTCATTTCAGAAAGTGAAAACCATATATTATATAGATTCATGATCATGGGGAAGACTACTGACTAGACAGATGTCCAGAAGACAGTCATTGACACCCTCCACGAGGAGGGTAAGCCACAAAAGTTCATTGCTAAAGAAGCTGGTTGTTCACAGAGTGCTGTATCCAAGCATATTCATAGAAAGTTGAGTGGAAGGAAAAAGTGTGGTAGGAAAAGGTGCACCAGCAAGAACTTGGGGGAGCTTCACAAGGAGTGGACTGAGGCTTTGCGTCAGCAATCCTAGACATGGGCTACAAATGTCGCATTCCTTGTGTCAAGCCACTCCTGAACCAGAGACAACGTCAGGAGCGTCTTACCTGGGCTGTGGAGAAAAAGAACTGGACTGTTGCTCAGTGGTCCAAAGTCCTCTTTTCAGATGAAAGTCATCAAAATTTCAAGAAATAAAGGCTTGAAATATTTCACTCTGTGTAATGAATCTATATAATATATGGGTTTCACTTTCTGAAATGAGTGACAAAAAATATTGACCTTTTTCATGATATTCTAATTGTTTTAGATGTACCTGTAGTTTAATAAATTGGCAATGCATGCAACGTTTGCCTGAATTATGAAGCACTGCACTCTGTGTGGCTGCTATAGGGAACCACAGATTCAAAGATTTATTACATGTTCAAACAGGAATGGGATCTTTATTGGTCTTTGCACAGGCAAGCATCACTATTACTATTGCTCATACTTCTTATTAGGAATTTGAACAAAGCCCCAAGCCTAAACCTTAAGTTTATTAGTGTATAATTTGTGTATAATGGCTCAAAGCATCATTGGGAAAATGTTTACTGTTGCTTTTCTAAGTGATCTGACTGACCTATTTTCGCTGATGATTAAATGGGTAGAAAAAAATCCCTTAGACCAGTGGTTCTCAACCATTTTGATATTCAATATTCAAAGGCCCCACAATATAAGGCAAGTTAATTCCTCTGGTATTTCTGCTGTAAATATGACAAATCTGTTTGTTTTCCAGCTTCTTTTATTAACAGAAACCTGGAGTGTTTATATAATAATTAACCACAATTAATTTTGTGTTTTGAGGAAAAATTGTTTACTGTACAACTTGATTGTATGTTTTTTAGTATTTGAATACAATATTAATATTAATTGTATTATTACTATTATTATTACAATAATATATAAGTTAAAAAACAAATTATGTCATCCTGCTGGTGCCCTTGGAAGTTTACTGAGGCCCCCTAGTGGGCTTAGGGCCTCAGGTTGAGAACCTATGCCTGAGACCCCATAATTAGGGATCAGAAAATCATAACTCTTTTAACTTGTGCCAGGAAACAATCACATAGCAAGCAACCACCCAGAATACCGTTGCAACACACCAGATTGTCTTAGCAGCAGCATAGCAGCACCATGCATGACCCACAGCACATTTGACTTCTGCATGCAGTGCAAAGACAACAACGACCTGTAGAAGCAAGTTTTGTGGCTATAATGCTCTGCTTCTTCTCATTCACCTCATATATTCCATTTGTCTCATAAACTCTATTTTTGTTAGAATACAAGGAAGAGCCCTGAAGAGAACATGGATAATCTACTTCACAAGCTCACTACCCTCTGTAACCTGTTGTCATCTCTGGAGAAAAGGGTAGAGACACATATGACAGGAACAGCATGCAAACATGCACAAACCACATACATGTCATCCTTTTGCATTGCTGTCTTTATAAAAATGATGATGATGATAACAATATTATGTATTTTATAGGTTCTTAAAGCTTTACAAGAAGCTGTAACCAATCACAACTTATCTTTGCAAACATCCACTCCTCCTGAGTCTGTCACAGCCCCCAAAAAACAGGCCAGACCTAATACTGTCCACAGCTTTCAGGTAGCATATTAATTAGTGTCTGTTTCTTTGCTCACTGGTAATATGCAAGTGTTTGCATTTATTTATGTGCATGTGTTTGCATGTAAAGATCAAGGTGGTCAGGTATGGCAGACAAACAGTGTCGGTAGACATAGATGCAGGAGTGCTGCTGTTTGACAAGAGGACTGGCTCATTTGGTGTGGAGACTGTCACACACGACAGAAGTGAGTTTATCTTGCCTTAAAACCTGAGATACTTCAGTCTCCATCATTATCATACAAGGCCAGTAAATGGAATCTATTGCTTTTATGTTTTAGTCGTGCAGTTGGTGAAGATTCAGAGAGGCCCTGCCAAGCTGAAAATGGTCATAGACAGTCATCACAATCCGCCGAGAGAACTTGTGTTTGAAAGCATGAAGGTGAGGAGAAAGACTTGAATTGGCTTACCTTAAATGGTCTAAATCTGATATACAGTACTGATGCTTCTCCCACAGAAACGAGAAGCTTTCTGTCGGCTGCTGCAGCTTATGAAGACTGCTCACTGCCAGCAGTCTGAGCTGGATGTCATCTCTGTGTTTGTGGGCACATGGAACATGGGTATGGATATACAGTGTATCATTAAAAATAAAAAATATTATGGCCTCAACAGTTGCAGCAAAATATTTCATTGTTGTTTCTGTATATTGCCTGCAGGGGGCACTCCACCACCCGGTTCACTTCAGTCCTGGGTTACTTGCTGTGGTCTGGGTCTCACCCCAGACGAGTCCATCGCGACCTTGCCTCATGATATCTATGCAGTGGGCACTCAGGACAACCCGCAGGGCGAGAGAGAATGGGCTGAACACATCCGAGCCACGCTTCGGAGTGCAACCAACATTGACTTCAAACAGGTCTGACTTCATGAAATCAAAATCATCATAGTCCAGAACACTCCATGTTTCTTCTTCATATGTGATCACATATCTATATGAATCATTTGATTGTATTGCATTAAAGGGATAGTTCACCCAAAAATGAAAATTCTGTCATTAATTACTCTTTTATAGGTTCTTAAAGCTTTACAAGAAGCTGTAACCAATCACAACTTATCTTTGCAAACATCCACTCCTCCTGAGTCTGTCACAGCCCCCAAAAAACAGGCCAGACCTAATACTGTCCACAGCTTTCAGGTAGCACATTAGTGTCTGTTTCTTTGCTCACTGGTAATATGCAAGTGTTTGCATTTATTTATGTGCATGTGTTTGCATGTAAAGATCAAGGTGGTCAGGTATGGCAGACAAACAGTCGTTCTTTTTGTTTTCTTTGCGCACAAAAAAGTATTCTCGTAGCTTCGTAAAATTACGGTTGAACCACTGATGTCACATGGACCACGTTCATCTTCGGAACACAAATTAAGATATTTTTGATGCATTCCGAGAGCTCTCTGACCCTCCCATAGACAGCAAGGATCCTTACACGATCAAAGCTCAGAAACGTAGCAAGGAGGAGATCGTTAAAATAATCCATGTGACATCAGTGGTTCAACCGTAATTTTACAAAGCTACGAGAATACTTTTTATGCGCAAAGAAAATAAAAAGAACGACTTTATTTAACAATTCGTCTCCTCCGCATCACTCTATAGCGCCATTTGGGAGAGTATCACATATGTAAACAACGTATGCTGTTCTGTGTCAGCATCACCGTACACGGATACGCTGTTTACATTGTTTATGCTTTGATCTGAACGTAAACAATGTATCCGTGTACATACGTTGTTTACATATGTGATACTCTCCAAAATGGCGCTATGGTGACGCAGAGGAGACAAATTGTTGAATAAAGTCGTTCTTTTTGTTTTCTTTGCCCACAAAAAAGTATTCTCGTAGCTTCGTAAAATTACGGTTGAACCACTGATGTCACATGGATTATTTTAACGATCTCCTTGCTACGTTTCTGAGCTTTGATCGTGTAAGGATCCTTGCTGTCTATGGGAGGGTCAGAGAGCTCCTGGAATGCATCAAAAATATCTTAATTTGTGTTCCGAAGATGAACGAAGGTCTTCCAGGTTTGGAACGACATGAGCATGAGTAATTAATGACAGAATTTAAATTTTTGGGTGAACTATCCCTTTAAAGTGTGTTAAACTGGTAAGAGTAGATTGAGTGTGTTTTTGTGTTTCTCTTGTAGGTGGCAGTACAGTCCCTTTGGAATATCAGACTGGCTGTGTTTGTGAAACCAGAGCATGAAGGACGCATCAGTCAAGTAAACACAGCTAGTGTAAAAACTGGCCTGGGGAACACACTTGGTACAAATCTCTCTTGCTCAAACAAACACACTCACTCACTCACTAACTCTCATTTTCTGATGTTTTCTCACATCTTTTATATCCTTGTCTTTTAGCCAAGCAAAACAAATCAAGTGATAAATGAATCATATTGATATTTTTTTTTATGTTAAATTAATTTATTTTTTCTTGGTGGTTACAGGAAATAAGGGAGCAGTAGGAGTTTCTCTTCTCTTTAATGGCACCTCAATGGGCTTTGTGAACTGTCATCTGACTTCTGGTAGTGATAAAGCACTCAGGTATTCACACATATCTTTAAAATAGAGCAGTGGTGACATGCCACTGCAAACCACATATCAACCTAAATATACTCTACAAAGAAGAAGTTGGGCACAAATGATCCTTAAGGCTGAAATAAATTACACAACTTTTACAAACTAAACAGATTTTAAAGCACTATACTTTTTAAATGGTTACAGAGAAAAACGGGTCATCATACAACTGAAACATAAGTGGCTAACCAACGCATGACAAAAGAGAACATAACGCATGACAAAATATGAAAATATAAAATGATCACAAATTAATGTTAACACAATCAGTTAATTCATTGCTATGAGTTGATGAATCAGTTGATTATTTCAATGTCTATGAATTATTTATTTAGGTCTGGTTTTTTAAACGGCTAATAACTCGCAGACCACAGTTTGAGAACCACAGCATTTGTTACCCTGCTTAAAGTCCCCATGAAAAGTTTTTGGCTTTTAGTATGAATTATATCTATAAGCTAGTGCTCCAAAACATTGACAAACTTCACATTTAGAAGATATAAGCATTCAAAACGTAGTCTCTCACTTCTGCCAATATGAATCAACGATTTTGATGAAATCACCCTGCACTTCAGCTTCTCATCAGATTTTCTGGCCAATCAAATGCTCTAGAATCTGAAGCGTCCCGCCCCGTACACAATAAATAGATGCTGAAATCTGTGGCTGAAATCGCTCACTTGTTCAGAGTTAGTATTTTCTATATGGTCAGTGGCACATAGAGCACGATTCAGACAGTGTGAATATGCTTTCCATTTGGGCAAATGAAGTCTGGTTTTGTGTTGTGTCATGCAAACTGCTGCAGCACGCACACAGTGTGCTCCAGAGACACGATAGCATGGATATGTCTATACATCATATGCACAAATCGGCGGAGAACACAAAACGTACCGGACCTGTTTGAATTGTGCACAGATTGCTATATTTTATAGTGATAATGGATGAGGTTAGGAGGAGAAACTGTTTGACAAACTCTGTATTAGAAACAGCACTGACGAGTAGAAGAGATAACACCGGTGCCATTCACCAATATATTTTCATACTACATATACTCTGCATGATTATGATCACTACCGTTTTACTCTAGTAACAGTTTCCTGTCGAATCTAAAGGGGAAATCCATTAGACTGTGGCTGCCATAAGCTGTCAAATGCGGCTTTACCAAGCTCAACAGCTCTGGCCCGAAATTTCATTGGAAATGATGTCAAATTAACTCAGGAAAAGCTTGCCCAAATACACATACTTCTGGTCTTTGCACTTGACCACTTGACTACTACTTGCATGTTGTATTTCCTGTATTTGGCCCAAGTGTTAAAGTGGGCGTGAAGACAAGTGCATGTACAATTTTCCATTACCCGATGGACACACTTGTAGTGTTTTCAAAATGCAAGTGTTTTACATTGCTTTATTTTGATTTTCAATAATTTGCATTTAAAAATAAACTTCTAAATGTCTGTTCAGTAACCTCTATAACAGATGACACAACTTAGTAATTATGCTGCTTCTAATTAAATGATAAAGCAGTTGCAAATGATGTACAAAAGAAACATACTAATCTATGTTTCACTATCAAATTATATGTAATATTTAATGTGAAACATCTAGATGACATTGTGTAACTATGTTTTGTACACAATCGTTCAAAAGTTTGGGGTAAGTTTATTTTTATGAATAAGTTTATTCAGCAAATACACATTAAATTGATCAAAAGTGACAGTCTTGCACGGATATAAAATATTTCTATTTCAAATAAACGCTGTTCTTTTGAATTTTCCATTCATCATAGAGTCCTGAATCATGTTTTCACAAAAAAATTAAGCAGCACAATTGTTTTCAGCAATGATAATAATAAGGAATGTTTTCTTGACAATCAAATCAGCATATTAGAATGATTTCTGAAGGATCATGTGACACTGAAGACTTGAATAATGGCTGCTGAAAATTCAGCTTTGCCATAAGAATAAATTACATTTTAAAATATATTAAAATAGAAAAACAATTACTGTTTTTGCTGTATTTATGAGAAAATAATTGCAGATTTCAAAAACATCTTATACCCCCCAAACTTTACAGTAGTTGTGTATGCGTGAGTGTCTGATTTGCATTGTTCCTCCTCCTTGTCTTAGGAGGAACCACAACTTCCAAGACATCCTCAGACTCTTGTCTCTTGGAGAAAAGCAGCTCGGCACTTTTGACATTAGCCTTCGCTTCAATCATCTCTTTTGGTGTGGAGACCTCAACTACCGCCTGGACCTGGATGCACTGGTCACATAGCTTAAATCCGCTTTATTTCTCTCTAGATATTAGTCACTCTTGCTTTACTTATTCCCACTCACTGCTTTTTATTTAACTGTGATCCATAGCCATTCAAACATTGCTCCAAGGAGACCCCATTAAGCGCATTGAATTGAACTGAGTTGTTTTGTAAACCCTTGTGCTCACTTGTATCATATATTGAAGGTCATCTGTCCCTGACCGAGGTCTCTCTTTTTGCAGGACATATTGAAGCATGTTTCAAAGCGAGAATTTGACGAGCTGATGTGTGCAGACCAATTGACTAGAGAGCGGCACAGAAGAAAGGCCTTTTTTAACTTTAGTAAGAACCGCGGCTGCTCTTCTCCTCCCACGGACACCACAGACACATGAAATCAATAGATGTGATTACACAACAAATGTTGGACATTAACAGACACTTTAATATTTCATTCTTGATTTTGTTCTTGCTCTCTCTGTTAAGAGGAGGAGAAGATTTTGTTTCCACCCACCTATCGGTATGAACGTGGTTCTAGAGACTGTTATCTATGGCAGAAATACAAGTCCAGTGGGGTAAAACATTTTGTTGTTAATGACATCCTAATATCCTGTTCACACTTATATGACCTGTGAATCAAAATGAGTGATATGATTGGAGTCATTAGGTGTGACAGCATACAAGATTACCATTACTCATCCTCCTTGTTTTTTATTATTTTGTTTTATTAAAACTATTCAAACTTTCCTCAGGTGCAAGTCAACGGGCCCTCATGGTGTGATAGAGTTCTGTGGAAGTCCTACTCTGAGTCTCACATAATCTGTACCTCGTATGGTATGTTACTTCTATTTCTTTTTATTCTTATTCTCATTACTGTAGAAGCTTTCTAAAAGAAAATAGTAATGTGAAATGTAGTCTATGTAACAGCCATGGCTAGATAAAATCCTTTGTTGGTTTGCACTTTAGCTCGAGGGAAGTTAACTAAAACATTGGTCTGCTATTTTTGTAGCTTTTTGGAATGAGATGTGTGTAGCTACCCTGCACTACAAAGGTTTACTTTGTGTATGATTGTAGGTCTGTGGTCATATCATGTCTCTCTGCTCTTCAAACATGTGAATTCAGCTTCCTCAGCAAAGCCCTCCAACAAATATTATACTAGTGTATATGATCACAGCCAGCACAGACCAGATGCTTAGTATTTCATAACTACATCACATTAGTATTTTTAGTAACTATTTAAATTGCAGCATTCAATGGAATGTGATGTTTAATTATTTAGGTTATTTATTAATGGGATGTTACTAATGTTCAGGTGATGGTTTGTATGACTAAAATTTTAAAAAATTTAATAAAAAACTCCGCCCCAATTACAACTTTAATAATTGATTTTCTAAGCATGCAGCCCAAATAGGCACATATTAAACACATATTAAACAAATATTTTAACTTATCCTATCAGGATGCACAGATGACATCTTCACCAGTGATCACTCTCCTGTTTTTGCAACTTTTGAAGTGGGTGTGATATCACAGTCTCCCAGAACAGGTATGGAGTCCTTTTAAGCTTAAGTCTTTGACACTGGAGTTTTTGACCTTTGGGTCATTGCATAACTCTGGGAGTTATATTAGGGGTTGCTGAACATGCATTTCATTAAGGAACCACCATTTCCCTTTGCCACTGAACACATTTTTTCCCAAGGCTGGTTCATTTTAACAGCACCAGCATGATTAAGCCTAAAACAATTTCAACTTTTAGATCATTCTTAAAGGGTTAGTGCACCCAAAAATTTAAATTCTGTCATCATTTACTCACTCTAATGTTGTTCCAAACTCATTGTTCATCTTAGAAACTCCACAAATCCAAACACTCAGAACAAACCACATTGGTTGTTGCATAAGTTCAAACTTGATACGTGAGGACAAACCTCATTGGTTCTCACGTCAACCAAGTACATTTGAGCTTCCATTTACTGTGTTTGATGTGCTTTGATCAATGTTTATGTGAATAAAATCATACATTTAATTTTCAATGCAATTGTACCTCTTCAGAAGCCTTTGATTAAATGTTTTGATTTATATGGACTTCTTTTCAATCTTTTGATTAACTTTTCAGAACATCACAAAAATCTTTCAGATTTCATGGAAAATTTCTTCATTTGTGTTTCAAAGATGAACAGTCTGAATGACATGAAGGTGACAGAATATTTATTTTTGGATGAACTAACCCCCACAAATACAATCAGCTGTCATAATTCAACAAGTATTTTTTAAATTGAGTATTTGTTTAGTGCTTCTCTTAGTGTCATAACCATCTGACAGTCCTCTTTGTCCGTCTCTGCGGATGCAGAATTGGGTTCAGAGAGAGCCAGCATTGAGCTGGAGGCGATTGAGGTCATAGTGAAAACTGCTAGCAAGGCCAAGTTTTTCATTGAGTTCCACTCACGCTGTCTAGAAGGTATCTTTTGTGCAATAATCAATGTTTCTTTGCCAATCTGTTTCCTTTTGAAATGTCATGAGGTTATATGATAAATGTGACAGTTCTTTCTTCTCCTTCTGTGTAGAGCCTCGTCGTTCTGCTGAGAATGACTCGCAGTGCTGTGAGGTACCAGGGTTTCTCAAACTTGGCTGGTCTTCAAAACAGTTCCCAAAGGTTGATGCCATTTGGCTCAGTGTGATCATTTGGAGATATGCTCTGTTTAATACGGATTTGACACTCTTGGTTGGTATACCAAGTGAAATTTCTCTTTTGTCTTTTTCAGCTCCACCCAGTGTTCTCAGATTTAGAGCATCTCCGGGATCAGCACTTGCTGTTGTCTGTGAAGTCATGTGATGGCTTTGAGTCATACGGTACATGATCAAGCTCATCATGTCTTTTTGAATGAAGTTTCTCTGAAACAGTGGTTTGGTTTTTAGAAACCATTACACCATAACCAGGAATATACACATCCTCTTAATTTCTTGTGAGCTAAAGGCACTGTTGAAATATGGACAAATTGGGCTTGTTTACACCTGATCACTTCATGCATTTTTTTCTGAGAGGATATCTATTTGATTTGTTCAAACGGTTCCATTTACATTTGGCCACATAAATGTGTCTCTGCAAAATGGATAAAAATCCGATCTTCAATTCCCATGCTATATGCAAATTTAACGGCGTTCATGTCAACGAAAGCAACAGGTATGCACAGCATTTTATTGATCATCAGCTAATTTCAGAATCAAAGACCGCAACAGGAGAAAGAGTGGCATCAGCACTGGAAAGATAAGTTAGTCTTACTACTTTTAATGAAGATGACTGTGTGTTGAGTGTCTGCGACTTACTCTCAGTTTTATTTGTGGCAGTTTGCACGTTGACTTGCTGAAGAGATACTCCTGAGAGATACTCATGTTGCATTAGCACTGTTGCATCTGGCTATGTCATATAGCTTATAACATGATCTCACACATTTATTATGTCAACATTTTGGCAGGAGTAAAATTTACATATGTGGTTTCAACAACCAGATGCATTTACACTTGTCCAGTTTCGTCTGGAATGCGTCCCAGACCACCTCCTGAAGTGGGTTGAGCGATCAGATTTAAATCCATCTCGAAAGCGTTTTTTGGAGGTTATTTAAACCTAGTCTTTTCATGAAACGCATGAAGTTACCAGGTGTATACAGGGCAGGCCCATAGATTGTATATGTAATGGGAGTTCTGCCATTTCAGGCGAGTGCTGTGTGGCTCTTCACTCAGTAACAGGGAAATCATCGGATCTATTTGAGACATGCTTGACTCACAGAGGAGAAGAGATGGGTTCTATTCGAGGACGAATCAGAGCTTATGTACCACCAGACCGCCGAAGGATCCGGGAAAGGGTCTATGGTGGGTTATCCACATGATCTCACTCTATCATTTCCTCAAATATACCCTGTTTTAGTTCCTCCTCTGCTTTGGCTCTATTTTCACTTTTCTATCTACCATGGCTTATTCTTTTGCTGCTGTGCTGCCTGATCTTGTCCAGATGCATTCTGAGACCTACACTGAAATATGACCCTTAACGTACCGCTCACTGAACACCCAGTGGCTTTGCAACAGATGACTATAATATTTAAACATTTAGACATGAGACATATCTTCTGCACATTGCAGAGTGGCTCTGCATGGAGAAGGATGAGAAGGAAATGATGAAGGATCATTTGTCTCGCCAGTCTTCCTGTGCATTCTCAAACCAGTGAGTAAAAAATGGACCTAGGTTAATAGTGTTTGCTTTATCTATGGTAAAGTATTTTTATTTACATACTTGTTCAGATGATCGTGTTCTGCTACCTTTTTCCATTGGACATTACTTTGATTACACTTCATGTTCCCTCTCTAGAGCACCATCATCCTCGTATGTGGCAGCGCCTAACAGCTACACCAATCCTGCGTACTTCATCTTTGAGGGGGTGCCTGTGTTGCGAAGAGTCGAAGAGATTCCCTCATCCGGCAAAGAATCCCAAGTGGTATATGCCAAAGATGCTGTGATACAGCTCCCTAGAGTGACTGGAGGTCACAGCCATGGCAAAAGGTCTGCTCGGAGGTCCGACTTCACAGAGATTGAGATTCCTGGATCTTTAGCACCTTATAAATCATCTTGTGAGACTCAAAGTGAACTGACGTCAACTGCCTCCTCTTATCAGCTTTTCCCAGGTCCAGACGTTCCTAATACATCCCCAAACCAAAGACACACCACCTCCTCGAATACATCTTTACTGTTACAGTCCCATAAGAACAATACAACACAGGATTCAGTATTATCAGTCAAAAAAGTCACAAACTCCTACATGAATAGTTCTGTTTTTTCCGGGGACATACAGGCGCCACTCAAAGAAAAAGTCCGAAAGGACTATCAAAGGCTACACCAAGATCGGCCCCCGTCAATGAGAAATGGACCAGAGCTGTACCCATATATATCCACAAGGGTTCCCGTTTGTGAAGTCTCAGTACCCTGGATAGTAGAGCAGCCAACAACAGCTTCGGGAGACAACTCACTCACAGCCCTCCAGATTGCTAAATCACTAAGTGAGGTGGATTTTCAGCCAGTAGACAGAAAGTACCAGTTTAATCAAATGTCGTCTCAGCAAAGGCATCATGGATATAATTATGGTTTAGCTAGTGAGAGAAACTACAGCTGGGAGAAAGAGGTAAGTTGAGTAATTTTCTGATATGGATTATGTTGTTTAGTGCACAGTGTCAATATGGATTTTAGGATTAGCTTTGGGGTTTAGCTTTGTTGAATACAAAAGCAACGTGTGTCCGCAGGTGTCAGTCTTACATGGAGCTCCAGAAACAGTGCGGGAGCTGCTCAGCACTCTGGGTTTGCAGCGCTACACGCTGGACCTCAGCCGTAATGGCTGGGATGATCTTGATTACTTCAGGTAAGGTTGATGTGATGTAGCCAAAAATCTGACATAGACTTCTTCATTTGCTTCTGTTCTCAGAGTCATTTGCTTCAGTTAATGATTCTAAGCAGCAACAGTGCTTCGTGAACATATATACGTCAATCTGTGAACTCTTGTCATGCAGTGGTATTACAGAGGAGGAGCTGTGTGCAGCGGGTGTGTCTAACCCATCTCATCGACGAAGAATCTTAGAGAACCTTCCCAAGATCTGGGACTGAACTGAAAAGGTGTCATGTCAGGAGACCCTAAATGACAAGTTCAGTATTTGCATTATTAAATTTTTTTTTTTTTACTCTTCTTTGTAATTTTTCAAGTTTAAATTCCATTCATAATAAAGTTCATCACACAATGTGTTCATTCTGTCCCTGTGGTTCTAAACATACGGTGTGGAATAAACTACAGTCCAACACTTGCTTCTAACAATCCAAACAAATCATATCTATCACTAAAACACAGACTCTTTAAAATTGTTTACTTTAGCATTGAGTGTCTTGATACTCATACTTAGTTACTGTGTATATAATAGCACGACAAGTCAACCTTGTCTTATCTGAGCATTAGCTGTGAAATGTTCTGGTTCAGTACCCTGTCACAGCTTGCCTGTTTTTAGCCTAGTTACTGCATTTATTCCTAGGAGACCCCTTGCTATAAATTACCCTTTTAAAAGTGCATAAAGCAATTGTTTGCTAACGGAGTCAGCTGGTCCTTTTAAGAGGAATACATATTTTACTATTTACCCCAGGGATTTAATTGCAGGGATGCTGTTCTCCCCTTTACTTAAGAGATAAGCTCATGGATTTTTAATGCTTAATTGAACACAAACAATGTTTTCCAGTGTGGTCTTACATCGCTGGGCCAACTGTAAATATAACCTGCAAAAAAAGGTAACAGAATAAGCACTGTTCACATTTTTCCTGAACATTATATGTGTAAAATGATGTTCCACAGGGATTTAATACACGTTGTAAAATGTCAGTCTGTTTGTATTCATATAAAGCTATAAAACCAACTAGCTATGCTTAATTTATGATGTTACCTTGACATTAACTGAATTATCCCACCTCCACAGTCCTAAAGCCTTTATTCTTGCAATTGTATATCTGTAATTTGATAAATTATGTAATATTCACTTTAGATTATGGTGATGGTTTTACGAAGTCGCAGGGGAAAAAATTGACTAAAGGGTGATTTTTTACATTTTATTTTAAATCTATACTACTCAGTGTCAATATTTGATCATCTTTAAACTTGAACAAATATGGTACAGAAGGTTGTTTGTATAGAAACAGGATCTTTGAGAACTATGTTTGCCCTGGGATAGAGTTGACTCTTAGACATATCAAAAACAATGAGTCTGGAGTGTTTGTAATGACATCAACTTGTCCTAATGATGTCCAGAGACATGTCTTGCATAAGTGCGGTAATCTGATAGATGGATGGATCTAGACAGATGTACAGAGAGAAAAATATGAATTGGAGAAAGTTCAGTGCGAGTTCACACCCTTGTGCGCTCTCGGCTGAAGAAAGCATCTCAGTGAGTCTGGGCATTACATCATTTTAATGATAGCTTATCACAAATAAACTTCCTTTCTGCTCTTACAGAAAATGTCCCTTATTTATCACTCCAGTAGTTTGTGGCTCTTCTTGACTTTATATCTATCTGCTTTTCCGTGACACAAAGGAAAGTGGGCGTAGTAGGCGTTTATTCTGCACTGGCCTGCCTGACCTGTCAGTTATTAGATTATGTAGGCTAGAGATGAAGAGTGAAACTGAGCTGTATTCCCAGTGACCTACAGTTTACATCACATTAATGAATCATTGTCCCACTCACATTCCTGTACAATTTATGCAAATTGTATATCACCTAGTTATATCCCATAACTCCCTCTTGGATTAACCATCAGGTCAGCACGGCAAAGGAAGTGGGTCTTACCATACCAACAATGCAAACTACTCTCCCCAGCTTTCATACAGCTGATAATTTTTTTTATTTCATGACACATGAATTGTAATTGAATGTTTTTTATAACATCCTAGATGTCAGTGATATACTGTATAATACTAACATAATGTCAAATAAATTTGAAAAATCACAATATCACAGATTATTTAACTTCAAACTATGTAGTTTATTACCGCAGCCAACATCATAAAACAATTGTGCAAATATTCAATGTGAACTTTAACTCAGAGAAGCATAGCAGTCATGCACCCTATTATGGCACTCCAACTGATCACCAGCAGATAAAAGTCTTTCTTGCAGTAACCTTTTGTCCTGTTCGTTTAGCTTTCCAGACACTCAATCTTCCATTTTTACATCGTCTGCCCCGGCCAAACACGGATCATATAATGTGCCTAACAGCACACCTTGGTGATCTGATATAAATGTGTGTGATTGTTTCTGAGTTGCTAAAGAATCAGTTACAGCACATGAGCATTAAGGTATCCTCTCTAAGGCAGACATGCACTACTAACCTCTCATTGGTCAAATGGGACTGTGTTTTAACTTTTTACTAAATATTAACTTTACTCCAAACAAATATGCATAAGCTCCCCTAGAACTCTTGGGAAACACTTACATTTCTTTACTGGATATGGAAAACATGGAACTTCTTTGGAACTTCAGTGCATTATTTTGGGATGAAAAGACACGATTCTTGCATATGGTATGTAGCACACACAGTCACATGGCTTGCTGGAAGTGAAATGACAAAGAGAAATAGAATAAAGGAAAGTCATTTGGGGAAAATTAGAAACCTTTTCTAAAATCCTGGAATTAAAATATTAAGCGTGTCTGTCTGGAGTTGGTATATACAACGGAAAGAAAACAGCACCATGTGTGCGTGCGTTGGGGTTAATGTACCTTCAAGGATTTTATCATAAAAACTGGGCTGTATCATTTACGAGAGCCAACATGTAATGTTTAAAGGGCATGTGAGATGACTTTCGATTGTAAATTACTGTCTGTGTGATGGGCAAAGATGGTAGAAACTGATAAGAGCATGATATGATACTGAGATGAGGAAATTACATTAAGGAATAGTAGAAAAAGAAGAGTTCCTCTTTTAATAGGCTATCTAAGACTAGGTATTTTAAAGCCTTAGCAGGTTTTTCGAAGGATTTAAGAAAAGTGATGTGATATTTAACAATACCTGTCACTATTGTTGATGAATTGGTCTTCTTGAGGATCTGAAGGGAGAAACTTTGGCGCTGATTCCCCGCCCCTCAGCTAATGCTCTCACCTAGTCCAGCGGACCACAGCAGATCGAGCGCGCCCAGTGCATTGAAAACTGGATGCCTAAACCTTTTTAAATAAGTTGATTTTTGAAGCACTAGCGTCAGCCATCTAAGTTCATGCTTTGGTCTGTGAAGGGACGTATTCTACCTCGTTCAGCTGAGTGAACGGTAAGTTTTAGCACGTGAAAATAACTCGCGTGCTCCCCTTTCTGTCTCTGTTTTTCCAACCAAATTACGTCTCGTGCGCCCTAAATGTGTGCGAAAAAGTTTTTCTTTCTGTTTTGTGATTTATTATAAAACAGCACAGTGCTCAAACGGGAGATAGTTTCGTATGAGCTTATCTCGGAAGTTGTCATGATTTATGAGAATATTGTTTTAGACCTAAACCCCATATAATGAGTTAAAAATCAGACTTCTAAGCACACAAAAGAGTCTATTTTTTTGTAGACACTTTCAGCCAGTGGTTTATGTTGATTTTATAGCTTGTGACATAATGTTATACACTGAAATCTACATTCTAAAAAATGCTGGGTTGTTTTAACCCAATGTTGGGTCAAATATGGACTAACCCAACTGTTGGGTTAAAAAGCTAATTAAAAAATGTAACCAAAATTTAGCCCAACAGTTGGGTTAGTCCATATTTGACCCAACATTGGGTAGAAACAACCCAGCATTTTTTAGAGTGTACTTTAATATTTTGTGTTGACTTCTAACTCGCTGTTTCTAAAAATTGCTATAAACATCTTTTGTTGTTATTTTAACAGAGAAATGAATTCATTCTTAAGGAAAAGCGTCTCAGGGAATTTGTCCCTTGTGTACACCACACTGATACCGAGGTCTGAGAAGGAAGTGAATTTCAGCTGTCTCTTCAATGAGGAGTTCAAGTATATTCTGCTACCTGTATCATACTCCCTAGTGTGTTTCCTGGGACTGATACTTAACTCTGTGGCTCTGTGGATGTTCATCACTAAGATGAGGCCCTGGAAACCCAGTACGGTTTATATGTTCCATCTGGCCCTGTCGGACACGCTCTATGTGCTCTCCTTGCCTATGCTCATATACTACTACGCAAACCGCAGCCACTGGCCTTTTGGGGTTTTTCTCTGTAAGATTGTGCGGTTTCTTTTCTATGCTAACTTGTACTGCAGCATTCTGTTTCTCACTTGCATCAGTGTGCACCGCTACCTTGGTATCTGTCACCCCATTCGTGCTCTGACTTTGATCAAGCCACGCCATGCTCACATGGTGTGTGGTTTTGTCTGGACTGCTGTGATAGCCTGCCTGGTGCCCAAGCTGATTTTTGTCAACACTTCTCAAAGAGGAAATGACACTTTGTGTCACGACACCAGCCGCCCGGATGAATTTCACGACTATGTTACCTACAACTCAGTGGTGATGGTCCTGCTGTTTATCCTGCCATTTTTAGTCATCATGGTCTGCTACTGTTTAATGGCACGGGCCCTTTGCCAACCCCGAAAAGGCCTGTCCCAAAGTCAACCGAGTTCATCCCGGAAGAAGTCCATTAAACTTATCATAGTGGTGCTGGTTGTGTTTGCGATTTGCTTTGTACCCTTCCACATCACCCGTTCGCTCTACTACTCCTACCGTATTCTAGACGCAGATTGCAGGTCCCTTAATATCATCAACTTTGCTTATAAAATCACTCGCCCACTTGCTAGCATGAACAGCTGTTTGGACCCCATCCTCTACTTCCTGGCAGGGGATCACTACCGCTCTAAACTCCTCAGAGCGTTCACTAGACAAACTCCGAACACTCGTTCTACCGCGTATGTGCATGATAACAACATTGGGCTGGCCTTTAAAAACCCAGATGCCCAAGCTGGCACTGAGTCCAGACTCTAGATTCACATACCCAGACATTTTGGGTAATCTTTTAAAAAGCAGTTCTGGAAGACTGCTGCAAATTTTGTAAAGACATCCCAAGCATTCTCTGTCAACAGACATCATTCTTCAGACACGCATCCAGAAGAATTCAGGACAGTCTTGTGAACACTACAGCGTAGATAAAAGTAAAGGAATCTTTTTGCTTCCTTTGTGCACTCCTAATGTTTTTTTTCATTCAGTGTGATTGCTGGTGCCGAGGAACTGCAGCTTGTTTTATAAAAGCTCTGATGGCCAATCACTCCTGGTTACTTGTAATGTTGAAGTTTCTCACTATTGGTCAAGGATACAGCTTGGCAGTGTTGGGGTTCTGTCAACACTGAAAACAAAACCTACTCTATATCCCAGAGATGGACTCTGGCCTGTGACTGTTACTACAGAAATGCCAGTACAAAGCCTTTTGTGTGTTATGTTATGTGCGAAGGTCCTATGGTAGGAAATTAAAGCGTGAAATCCTCCTGCAAAAAAGTAGGACTTGAGTTTTTAACCTGCAGTATTTAACCAATGAAGAAATTAATTTTGTATTGATTATTAAAGAATACCCATTTTATTCTACTCTTTATGCTGATACTGAACACATTGTAAAGATAAGATAGCATGCTGTTAAAATATCATTTATTTGAATCAAACAGAAAAGTTGGGAAGGCACTTTGAGTGAAAAGGTGAATGGTTGTGGGGGAGGCTGAAATTCGAGCTGCAGTTGTGCAGTTATCCCCCCTTGGCTTGCTTCATTCCTCATACAGATGTTTTTCTCCTTTGGCGGAGCAGATCTACAGCTGTGCTGCTGCATGTGTGTTTGTGTGAATTTGTGAGTATTTGCATAGCTGGGCTGAATGAAGGGGAAAGAAGAGATTGAAGAAATCAGATCCGTTTTGGCATATTGAGGATATTTGGCATATTTTCTTTTTCTCAGATGTAACCTCTGTGGGAATGTTTAGGGGTTTATGCATTTTATTATTTCATATTTAGTTTCTTTTAAAATAATGTTATATTTTATGACGGTTCTCTGGTCATGGTATTTGTTTAATTTTAAGTTGCATTTACATAATGTGTTTTGTATTTACTTTGGCTGAGTTTTCTGTGTATATCCTGTGTCTGTTTTATATGCCCCTCTCTGATACAAACAAAATCACAACTAAAATAAATCAGAAGAGACCATACTTGTTTACAAAATACTTAAGTAGAATGAAAGGATCTATTTTATTGACAGCATGCTAGAAAATGTGTTTTAAAGCTAATAATTTATGTCTGCTATGTGCTTTTTTTATACTGCCAAGCATTTATGGATCATTTACAACTTATTTTTTAAATTGTGTACACAAATGCATTTTTGTGTAACTATTTATATCTAACCATATATACTGTACGGTATGAGATTGTGTGTGCCATTTAAGGACACGGAGCAAAAGATTAAATTGAAGTTTAAAGTTAAAAATTTAACATTTTTATTTTCAAATGATATCCAGGAGAAAGTGCTTTTATTTTATTATTTTTTTCACAGATATTGCTTAGAGCAAATGACAAAGAACGTAATTTGATATATTCGTGTGCTATGGCATAATATTGCAATTAATATGGCAAGTTGCATTTTTTTTTTTTTTTTTTTTTTTGAGATTGTGAAATAGTGATGCTCTTGGGGTTCTCGGGGGAAAGCTCTTAATTTTTTTTCTTTCAGTCAGTAGAGGTCCCCAGAGCTGTTTTCAAATGTTTCTAATAAGGAATGAGTGCATGGACTTAATACTCACATCTCCTTGAGCTCTCTGTCCAGTGCCTTTGACTATGATAAATAGACCTGTTGGCTGCTGCTTTTGCTGTGGGGTTGTTCAGGTCATGAATGGTTTAATATGCACAGGAGATAGAGGGTTAATATCCCCCTTTTTTTCTTGCACTAAAATCACCCTGAATATTTGGAAACAAATAACATCAAATAAGTCAAGGCCCATACAAACAAGAAGATGACTACAGTGTGGACTAAGTTTAATCTATGGATTTCTGTTCAAAATGGGAAAAACATCTGTAAATAACCTCTGTGAATAATACAATTAAAAGCAAACAAACAAGTGTTTGAGTGTTTCCAATTGCAAGTTTTGTTTTTGAAGTGGTAAGCCTGCTTTTATTGTAATACTTCTACAGGTAAATATTTTACACTTATATGTTGTTGTCAAGGAGGGTGGGTTATGTTTTAAGTCTGACATTTATTTCTCTTTAATAGTCCTGATTTTCCCTCCCCCTCTGTCTCTCATGTCCTCAACTGTTTTCATCCTCTCATTCTTGTGCACGGCCCAAGGACAAGGGTTGGGAGAAATCAATGTTGTGAGCACCGCAATACAATACTCATAAAAGACATTGAGCTATAAAAAAATTTAACTGCCGGAGAAGCATGGTTTTTCCCATCAGTTCTAGCAATAAGTAACCTTTATGTGTTTTATTTGTGTTGTTCACTGACATAAAAGAGCTTTTACACAGTCTAAAGAGAATTGATTTCTTTGGTCACAAAAGCATGTTTTCGATCGATCGCTATATAGCTCCGTAAAATGAAAATAAAAAGTTACTTGTTCATATTAATCTATGAAACAACAAAAAGTGTGTGGTGTATATAAACACACACACATTATATGCAGTAGTCAACATTTGAAGTGGATCAAAAAAGTTCATCAAAGTTGTCCTAAGACAATAACGCATTTTGGTTTTAGGTTTAGGAAAGGTTTTGATTCACTTCAAATGTTGACATATATATGTATATGTGTGTGTGTGTGTATGATACAGGTTTACAGTATTATAATACAGGTACATTATATATTATTTACACAATACTGGTACATTAAAAACTATCATACATTTTTACCATGATTTAGAAAAGAAACCCACTAAAATGTCATTCAGTGTAACGATAGTTCATATAACGAAAAATCTTGTTAGGCAGATTTAGAACAAGAATCATTAGGTGAGATTTTTTATTTATTTTTTAAATATTGTAATTTTAATCTTTACCAAACTTTGCCACTATATACCATGTCCTATAAGTTGTACCTATTTGTTAGCAATAACTTTATAATTATTTAAAATAAAGTACTTTTTGCTTTTACTTTC